ATCCAAACCATAGCTCCGCCCTTTCTAGGCTCCTCCCCCTCTCGACACACACACACACACACACACACACACACACACACACACACACACACACACACAGATGCTCTGCCATATTTCATTATGTGTGCACAATGCAAATCTCCCCAGAAGTCAAAGCCATTACACTGTTCCCGCAGCGGGGAGGAAGTTAATGCACATTCTGTCTCAGCCTATAGATGCTCAGAGCAGCGTTTTAATAAGCAAATGCATCGTTTAGGTGCATCTACAAACATGTGATCGACTCCTCCAACAGTCACGTACACTTTAGTGTTGAATACATTTATACCTCAAGGTCACAAACAGCAGAAGGGATGGAGAGCATGATGTTTAATCCACTCTCTTGAATCCAGAGAGCAGTGTGATACATCAGGAGCTAAATACTGTGTGAGGAGACCATGATGCAGCATTTAAAATAAAAAACAACTGGTCTTGTTGTGAAACCCTATTATCATATTAATAATAATAAAAACAATAAAGCATGACGGAGCGCTCTTCAGTGCTCAAATGCACTTTACAGGCAAATAAAATATATTTTAAAAGGTTTTTATTAGATTTTAGTTTTAAATAATATAACGTTGCATATTTATTTATAGTTTTCTTTTGTAAAATGATCTTATATTAGTTCCCATAATCGCTGTGAAACCCCTATACAGAGAATAAAATCATAGAATGCTTTACTTTACAAGCAAATAACAATAAAATAAAACATTTCAATAAAAACCAAATCAAAAAACACCCTTTTTTCCACTTTATTTCAACCTTCACCTCGCAAGATTTTCCCCCAAGTAATTGGCATTCATTTGCAGTGTTGTAATGTCACGAAGTTCTTTTACACAAGTTTAAAAAGTACGAGAAGTACACACTCTCAATCCTATATGTATTCCTCTTTAATCCTGCAGGTTGTGGGAGGACGGCTGGAGGCAGAGATACTACAAGACGAAGTTTGACGTGGAGGCGACGGACGACGACTTCAGGCAGAAGGTGGTGCGGTCGTACGTGGAGGGACTCTGCTGGGTGCTGAGATACTACTACCAGGTAACACTCAAAGCATTGGGGGTGAAACACTTACAATGAACTGGTCAAAGAGTCTTTATTAGTTGCTTTCACACCAAGTACTTTGCCGCACTTAGTGCCAGCACTTAGTACCCCATGGAACTAAGTACAGATCGCGTTCACACCAGAATAAGTTCCTGAGGGAGGATTAGGCAAATGAAGCCGCTGACGTCACTTCTTCTTCTTCTTCTGCTGTGGGTTTACTAGCAGGCCACTAACCACTTCACGGCGTATACTGCCACCCGGAGTCCCCGGCCGGGAGT